CAATATAATATATGTAATATTAAAAATGTTACATCTATGAATGGGAAATTACAACTAACATATACGTTACATGTAACATGCTTGAGTTATATAACTTTATATACTGTGTTTGCTGGGTCTAGTGTTTCCAAAGCATCCTCCGAACATAACGACAATTCGATTCGAAATTCTTTATAACTTCAACAATATAATTTAGTCGGTCGTCCTTATCTGAGCAATGAATCGGCAATGCAAACGTGCACCTAAACTTAAGAGTTTAGATACAGTATCAGGTAACACTTTAGAGCTGATATTTATTAACCAGTTAGAATTGTCAATGCTTTCCACAGATTTGAAAATACAATATGTTTCTGTTTCATCTATTAAACTTTTTTATCATCCTACTTTTTGTTCTACATTAAAATTATTAATCGTTGTTACTTAAACAAAAAAACTGATTTACCACCCCAGATAGGCCAAACGTTCCTTGGCATAATAAGGAAAATGATTGCTTGACATACATTTCCTTTAAGTTGTCATAATGTTGCTATCACCAAACAATGCTCATTTTGTTTCGACCATGTAAGAGCATTATATAGACAACAGTTGCTTTCGTAAACAAACACAATGTTGTAGCATATTTATTGTTAAAAAGTTGCTACAATATGTTGGAAACTATTGTTGCAAAATATTTAGTCATATGTTTCCATCAACTTAATGGAAATATATAATTTAAAATAATACATATATAATAATGTACTTATAATTATATATATTTTATATATTTGCGCACGTGTAATATTTAAATCTGTGTCTGATGATTTATTTTTTTTATTAAGAAAGTTTACACACATAAAATTTGTTGTAATCGCAAATTATGGAATATTAATATAAAATATTACAATAATAATTTGAAAATATAAGAATACGACCACATTAAAATGATATTAAAATGAGAATTGAATAAAAATATAGCGGAGTAATTATATTTTTTGTTGTTGTGCATGGTTAATGGTGTCTCAGAATTTCTGGTTCCCAAAATCCTAAAACAAAATTATTATATATTTTACATAATTAATGTATTAATGTTTCAATGTCCTACTCTTAACAGTTACACTATTGAGTAGGACATTGAAACTAATGTTATATCTACTGTTACTTTGGTTTGCTAGGTATACACACACACACGCACGCACGCACGCACGCACGCACGCACACACGCACACACGCGCGCATACGCGCACACACACACACATATATACCAATATATATATATTAGAAACATATATATTAAATATATCTACATTATATATACCTTTTGATGTATGTGGTCTCTCATATTTCTTCCTATGTCTTGAGCATTATTTTTTTTCTTCTGTAACTCTGTTTTAGACAAAGATAGACTCTTGTAATACTAGAAATTATATATAAAAATAAATATTATAAAGAGATTTATAATATATATAAAAAAATGTATAAAGTAAGAGGGAACTATTTAGATTAGATTTATTATGTAATATTAATATTTACTTTTTCACATTTCCAACAATCCCAACCATTTAACGCTGATCTCTGAGCTTTGGATCGCATGTTAATATAATCTGCTCGTTAATGTTCTTCTTTTTCTTTTGCAATCTGTAAATATAAGATACTTTAATGAGATATTTATGTAACAGAAATTTACATTATTACCAAATATTAAATAAATAAATATTCCACATATCATACCTAGCCAGTGATGCAGTAGGTGGCTTGTTTTCTATATTGTTATCTAAATCTATTGAATTTGTTTTAACATTTTGTTTTTATGCATGCTTTTTTCGTGACTTTTTAATCCTTTCTTCGATTTTTTTATCAGTCGTGGAAATAAAAGGCTCGGACTAATCACATCATCACGTTTATTATCTTGTACTGCAGTCTGTATCTCGTTCTAAAAAAAATATTAAACAAAATATTAGTAAAACAATCATGTGTATCCTCCAGTAAAAGAAAATTTCTCATAGGGAGAAAGAGATAACCTTTGAATTAGTGCAGCCTAGAGTTAAGGTAGTGCAGGAATAAAAAGCAGATCCTAAGATCTAATAATAAGTAATAATTTTATAAGTATACCTTTTTCTTTATGTGCATTTTTTAGTCGTTTATTCCTCTTGTGGCAAGATGTAACTATACTATCAATTACTTGACTTTCCACTTAAAACTGCGACGTAACTAATGTAAAACGTACTTTATGCCGCAGCCGTCTTGCGTCTTGTCGTATAAAATAGAAACACGCCTTAAACGTAGATAAACGGCCAGTGATGAGTAGGTATACTATGGGGTTCTAGACCAGGGGCAATGAGGGGGGGTGAGGGGCGGGGGGGAATCGGGGGCGAGGGGGGTGACGTCACGCGGGGGGGGAGGGGGTCTTATCAGTAGATAAGCTTATCTTTGTTTATAAACATATCAGATAACCTGATAAGGGGATCATGTTACCTGATATATTTATAAACAAGATAAGATAAGGGGATCATGTTACTTGATATGTTCATAAACAAGATAAGATAAGATAAGCGGCGTCTTTGAGCGGTATCAAAGTTTTCTCCGAAAATCCAAGATAAGATAAGCTAAGTTTTCGAATCCAAGATAAGCGGCGTCTTTGTAAGGTATCAAAGATAAGCGGCGTCTTTGTAAGGTATCAAAGTTTTCTCCGAAGATAAGATAAAAATTCTGCGAATGGCTGCCGCCGTTTCAGGCCGAGCGCCGACAATCAAGGGGGTTGCGTTTCTTCATCTAAATTTGATAAGATAAAAATTCTGCGAATGGCTGCCGCCGTTTTTTTTTAGCCGAGCGCCGACAATCAAGGGGGTTGCGTTTCTTCATCTAAATTTGATAAGATAAAAATTCTGCGAATTACTAAGAACAAAAGGTTCGCCGACAATCAAGCGGGTTGATCCGTACAGGTTGCGACATGTTGCGCGCGGCGTGTCGATCCGATCCGACGGGGTGAAATGAAAGGTAACGGGCGGCCTTATCTATGTATTTCTAAGAATTATCAGCGATATCTAAATTTTCTCCGAAGATATCACACAAATATTTCTCGCGAATTAACAATTGCATCATCATCCCCACGAACAAAGGGATGATCGGGATATATAATGAGGACCGATGCAGCTGCCGGGCCATAGTACCACTGGCGAGCGCACGCTTCATTCAGAATGTTTGTAATACTATCAAGTGCTTCCGACATTCTCAGTTTAAGTGCCGAACAGTTGCAATATATTCCGAAGATTGTTTTACTGCAAAAGTGCGGATATTTCATAGAGCATTTGTGGGAAAAACTGCCGGAGCACATTAAGACGGATCCGGAGGTTCAGACATATCGTCGCTGCCTCGAACACTACAATCGGCCGTGGATGCGAACGCATATTGACGGTCCTGCACCGATGATCAGGGATTGCAGCGAATGTCAGCGAAAATAGGCTGAGGTTAAAAGTGCGAATAAGTGATAGACATTGAAAAATGGAGAGCGCACCGCAAAATCATGCAGAGTGTCATGAGAAGGGGTGTTATAAGACTGCTGAGAGATGGTATAGACATCTCGAGGTATGTTGTCACAATGAAAAAAAAAACAACCCGTTTAGTAATAAACGTGAAGCGGTGACTTCAATTGTACAATATGTACGAAATCGCGAACTTGGTGTGCGAAAACCGCATACAAGACGTGTAGCCCAGTTCCTGGAAACGCATGAAGACATTGTAAGAGTGGCTGGTGATTTATCTAAATGCACCAGAACGTCTAAGCGACACAAGCGAGTCGCATGTTATCAACGTCGATACAAAAATTGTGTCGATTATTTCACTGTGGACAACTATGAATTTGGCTACATGGACATGCCTTCACCATCGGTGTCATGCAAAACACAATCATCCGAAAATGATTCTGACCAAGAAATGGAGGAGTCAGATAGGAGAGAACCATCGTCATCGTCATCATCATCATCATCGCCAGATTTTTTGTCGGCAGCCTATTTATCTTTTCTGTGATAAAATAGGTGTACAACATATGTGATATCAACGTGTTCTGAGAGAGAGAGTAGATATGTCTTCGCGGAAGGTGTAAACATGTCGATAGACAACTACTGAGCAGCCGCTATTTTTTGTTTCGTCGGAGATCATCTTTCGGAGATAATTGCATCATTGCATGAACAAAGGGATGACCGGGATATATAATGAGGACCGATGTCACTGCCGGGTCATAGTACGGTGACATACTAGTGAGCATACAGTGAGCATACAGTGTATTGTTTTTTTTTTGCAAAAATGGAGAAAGACATGGAAGTAGTGATCTCCGACAATGAAGAGATGGAGGTGGTGGTCATCCCTGATGACGAGGTGGAGGTGGTGGTCATCCCTGATGACGAGGTGGAGGTGGTCGTCGTCCCGGATGACGAGATGGAGATCATAACCATCTCCGACGACGACAGTGACAGTGATGGTGCGGTGTACGACCCTGTGTACGACAGGGAGGTGAACATCCTATTGGACGACATTGAGGATATGGATGTTGATATCGTGCCCATTGAAGAAGACGGCGATGACGATGACGATGATGATGACGATGACGATGAAGATGAAGATGACAATGACGACGGGTACGAAACTGACAACGCTGTCCGGGAGTCGGTGAGGTCCCGGATGTATGGCATACGCGCCACTGCATCCCTCGACGAGACAGCGAGGGTATGCACTGTGGCGTCGTATGTCATGGCGTTCGCCATACCATGGGGGTCGTTTAGGATCTGCTTTCGCTGTTTCATGAGAAACAGGAGCAGATTCATAAGCATCACAACCCTCGAGGGACACACAACATCGCGGTACATAAATGTACCCGAACTGCGTTGCGAAGAGTGCCGGGAAAGATTATACATATTCTACCTGGCCAACGCTTGTCCCACATGTCAAGGACGTGAGTATATATATATATATAATATGTCAAAATATATAAAATATTAAATTATTATATTTCTATGCACAGATGTCGAGTCCGATGACAGCGATGGGTGATGCGACCCCCCTCTCTCTCACTGTCCCGTCAGGGCTGTAAGTATATTAAAATACCAAAAAAAAATTGAAGCAAATCTATAAAATATTAAATTATTTTTATATTTCTATGTGTAGATGCCACTACCTCGAGCCGCCGCCGAATCCAGGCTTGGATCTCTCTCTCTCTCGCTGCTCACTCGCCGTCACAATATATTTTTTATATTTTATATTTTATATTTTTTATATTTTATATTTTTTATTTTTATATTTTTTATTTTTTATATTTTTATATTTTTATATTTTTTTATATTTTACATATATTATTTTTTATTTTTTATTTACACACACAGTAGAGAGGGTTTGGAGTCATTAAATACCGCGGAAGTGACGAACCGCGGGGTCCTCATCTCTACTGCAACACATGTACAAGTACACACACGCATACACACATGCACATACTCTGACATATGAGGTGTAAATCCGACCGGCAACCTCCACGCGGTACACCTCGGGTAATGCTAATGCCGGCGGTAATATATTAAATAAAAAAATATTAATATAATAAAATGTTTATTAATTAAAAAAAATGTTTATTAATTAAAAAAAAATGTTTCCCTTCTTCTTTCCTTATAGAAAAATATGTAAAAACTAATGTAAAAAGTAATGAATAAAATATATATATTTATTAAAATAAAAAAAAAATGTTTTTCCTCCTCTCCTTCACATCCCTCGCCGCAACATCTCTCTCGCAAAATCCAGGCTTGGATCTCTCTCGTTCACCGTCGCATCTCTCGCCGTCGCATCCGATCTCTCTCTCGCCGCGCCTCTCTCGCCGCGAGCCGCCACATCCAGGCTTGGATCTCTCTCGCCGCTGCATCTCTCGCCGCGAGCCGTCGCCTCTCTCGCCGCGCGCTGAATCCAGGCTTGGATCTCTCTCTCTTGAAGGCGTGCGTCTCTCTTACTCTCTTAATGTCGCGTGCGCCTCGTAAGATAAAATTATCGATTCTGCCGCAGCATGGATGGTCTTATCTCGTAAGATAAAAATATCGATTTTTTTCTCGCTGAATGCATTGTCCTTGACACAATAATTATATCTCGCAAAGTATGTAACGGGTGGCGCGCAAATAAAGTACACCATAATATATACATATAAGTATTTATTCGTCTTATATTTAATACATAATTATGTAGTTTTATTACATATTAAAAAACTAAAGCCACCAGCTCGCAATCGACAAGTTGGTGCATGTTGAAGGCATTGCTAGCGCGTATCGCATTCGACAATTCTCTCGCATTCGTTACAGTGGATGCAATATTGGAGAATTGAGTATATTTGATATCAACCGTTGCGACGAGCCTCGTCAATCGATCGTACATTATTTCGATACATGAATCGAGCTCGAACATACGATGTAACGTCGATTCGACCATCATCATGCGCACATCCGCTGATTCGAGACTTATGAGCTTGGTGCCGTTTATCTTGTGAAATCGCACTGTTAGCGGCCCGACACTTATGCAATTATACACATCGTTGTTGGAGGAGGAGTCATTGTTCAGGTAATTGTGAATAGC